GGGGAACACAGTGACAAAGGATGAGGAAAAAGAAGTGCCAGAAGGAGGATGTGGGGAATTACAAGTGCTGGGGAAGGTTATGGAGCAGGTCATCTTTGAGTGCCATCATGCGGCATGTATAGGACAACCAGTTGATCAGGCCCAGTCAGGAGGAGTTTATGAAAGGCAGGTCCTGCTTCACTAACCTGATACCCTTCTATGACAAGGTGACCTGCTTAGTGGATGAGGGAGAGGCTGACCTTTGGAGAAAGGGGCAGGCAATTCAGGAGGACAACAAGGATGTCATGAGGTTAGGCAGGGAGAACACTGGAAGGGCCACCTAGAACTTAATCTGGCTATTGCTGTAAACGAAAACAGAAAATGTTTCTATAAATACATTCACAACAAAAGGAGGGCTAAGGAGAATCTCCATCCTTTACTGGATGTGCGGGGGAACACAGTGACAAAGGATGAGGAAAAAGCTGGGGTACTTGATGCTTTCTGTGCCTCAGTCTTTAATGGTAAGACCAATTGTTCTCGGGGTACCAGCCTCCTGAGCTGGGAGACAGGGATGGGGAGGAGGATGAAGCCCCCATAATCAAGGGCAAAGTGTTAGTGACCTGCTACACCACTTAGACACACACACAGGTCTACGGGGCCAGATGGGATCCACCTGAGGGTACTGAGGGAGCTGGTGGAAGTGCTCACAAAGTCACTTTACATCATTTAAGAGCAGTCCTGGCTAACTGGGGAGATCCCAGTTGACTGGAAGTTAGCAAATGTGACACCCATCTACAAGAAGGGCCAGAAGGAGGATCCGGGGATCTACAGCCTGTCGGTCTGACCTCAGTGCTGGGGAAGGTTATGGAGCAGGTCATCTTCGAGTGCCATCATGCGGCACATACTGGACAATCAGGTGATCAGACCCAGTCAGGAGGGGTTTATGAAAGGCAGGTCCTGCTGGACTAACTCTGCAGCTACACAGAACAAGCCACAAAGCCCCCACCTTGGAGAAGTTCCACAGGATACAGATGGGTCTTTTCCAATTAAAACTGGTTTTCTTCAAGCAAAACAAAACTTGTGATATTATAATGTTAAGACAATTTTCAGAACATCAAGGAAAATAGGAAATCACTTAAATTATATTAAGGTGAAATGTATAAAATGCTATACCGAGTAAAACTGCATTTTTAGTTGTAGGTATGCCCCGAAATTCATTTTTTGTCTGTGAAGTGTTTGAAGCTTTTGGGTTTTTTTTGCTTGTCTAATTATGAAGAGAAAGGTTTCTGACTTCACCAAAAATCTCACACTTTATGAGGCTCTTACATTTCAGCAGACCTCACAGTCAAAAACAATCAAATGTCACAGTTACTATGTGAAAATTTCCATTTTAAAGATTTGCTGCAATTCTTAATATACCTCAAACCCTTAATCTAAAAATGTTCACTTGGTCATAATTTCTTGTCCGTATGTTAGAGCTGAAGGCCAAATTCAGCTCCATTGATTTCTAGCACTTACAGATTTAATACAGCTAATGGCACTCAGGCTTTTGATGCACTCTTAAAAATATATGTAAAGATATTATTTCACATACTTTTTTTAGAACAAAAACTTTTTCAATCTATTTTCTTTGTTATTATGTGCAACCCTGTTTAAGGCCCCCAAAACATGCTTATCAGTTTCTGATAAGTGTTGAATATTTATAAGTACAAGGCAAAATGCAATGAGAATTCAAAACTTCATTAATAAATACACTGTGTGCAAAGCAAATGGCTAGTTTTTGATGCCTTAACACAGAGGTCTCTCCATTTCCACACATCCACCTGAAGATATGCTTTTAGAGACAGGTTAAGGATTTATATTGGGGAAACCCAAACTCTCACACAAATGTTAAAGTGGACACACAACAACTGCAGTTCGTCTGAAGAGAGTTCAGTCATGATTCTGCTCTTATAATACATGGGTGATTTGATAACTCATTCTCCACATAGCTGAAAGACTTTTTACACAGAGACCCTTTAGCCAGGTTGGGGCTTTAAGGACAGTTCTAGATGTCACTGAGTTTTGCAGAATTATTTCCTCCTACTGATATGACCATTGCACAGTTGTTAAGAATATTTACATGTAGCTAAATACCCACCATGCTAAATTCATGCTTATCTGACATTAAGTAAAAAGAACTGATCATCTGTGAAACAGCCTATGGTCCCCCCATCAGTTTGCCTACTGCAAGAAATATATAATTGTAGGATTACACCTGATCTCTTACTTGCATTCATGAAATATGCCAATAAAACAATTCAGAGCTCAATGGGATTTGTAGTCTTGCACTGGCCATCAGACATATAACTTCTGCTTTGCAGAAAAAAAAAAAAAAAAAGGTATCAAACAATTGCCTTATTATATGAACTACTGACAATAGCTGCATTTTTCATCAATTAAATTTTCTATAATTTAGATTTGAAGTCAACTATCTACTTACTGTAGATGACTGTAGATGTAGATGTTATGACTGTAGATGTAGATGTTATGACATTGACAGAAATGGTTTTTATATATATGTAAAATGTATGGTATTAAGATTATTTATAGTGCAGACAGGTAAAGCTAACTTGGGTTTGATATTGCTCAGGTGACCAAGTCAATTGAGTAATAAAACATCTTTAACTCTAACATGATATTGAAAAATAAGAGAGTGTTCGGAAGTGGACCACCTAAAGCATCTTAAGTACTGCAGAGACACACTGAAGATTAATATCTCCCGACCTAGATTCCCAGGTGTGTTCTGTTGTGAACATGTTGGAGGCATAATGGGATGAAGGTTCTCTATTCTTGTCTACAGTCTCTTAAAGTAGCCTGACATTAGGGACCAAGAGGTAAAGTTACAATATTAATAAAGCAAAGATCTGAAGCATCTATTTGCAATACTTCATTTATTACACTGGTAAAATATACATGTAAAGAAACAAAAATCTATCGGTTCAGTTAGTCTTTCCTGATCTATTTGTTATTCGGTATGTGAGGTACACTGAAACTTCCAAGTCCAGAGGGTGGAAATGGGTGAGTGCACAATGGTGATGAGTGCAACATTTTCAGGAAAATTATATGCAAGGGTATTATGCAGAGAACAAGATGGTGGTTTATGTTAAAAATTTGCTTTCTTCTAGACTCAGAGAAAGCTACAACACACCTATACACTAAAGACAAGGCGCCCAGCTGCACAGGAACAAAAGCCCTGCCTTACTCAAGTTTTCCACACTTTTTCCCCTCCTGCTACTTTCCCTTTTCCACTACGTGTTCATTAGCCTTCTCTGTTAAATATTCTACTCTCCCTTAGTGCTGTGCTAACAGCTAAAACACACAGACAGCAGAAGTCAAGGCAAGAGTATGTCATGGTGTAGATTCCTCAAGGACCTTCACGCTGCCAGGAAGATCAGTCTTCTCCACACCAATAGCCACTGGCTAGGCAACAGCTGTCAGAAGTTTTCCCAACAACCTCTGACCAGATCAGTGATAATCAGACACAATGGAAGCCACAAAGCTGAAATCTGATTGGTGAGCAGCTGTGCAGGACATCAACTAAACAATCACATCCAGACTTTCAGACCAGGAAATCTTTGCAATAAATGCAATCTCTTAATTGTGAAGTTAGCGAAATCTCAAAAAATCAACAAGAGGCAACAGATGAGCAGAAACTTGTCTTTCCATGTTCCTTAGCAGGAAAAAAAAAAACACCTTGAACTGATTTGAGCTTAGTACTGGCACAGTACTAAGACGCAAAAGGCATTTCTGTATAGTTTCAAAAACTCACACATCTTGGGGAACTTGGCACTACTCCTTTTTAAACAAACCTTGCTCATCAGTCACCTTCAAGAGGGGATGGGGTTCACTGCATCCTTACACTTCACTAGAGGTGTAGGAGCAAGCTGAGACTGGGTAAAACCTGGCCACAGCAAGTTTACAGAGGAAACAGATTAAAGAAAGTTATGATCTATAGACCGTAAACTGTAGGAAGCACTTACAAGCATGCCTCATCAGAGGCTTGTTCCAAAGCAAGTAAACCTCATCATGATCAATAAGCCCTTGAAAGGGATTTCAGCCAATTCATACAGGGAAAAAAAAAAATATAAATCCTTTCAAAGCAAAGAATAACCAAACAAGATGAAGAGGCAGAGGCTGCAGCTATGCAAGTGCAGCCAAAGGTAACATGAAAGGCTGTACTCAAGATTCAGAAGTTTACTGAAGCATCTCAAAGTGCCATTGCTCCATATATTGTACAAATTATTCTTTTTATTCTTCTCCTTTATTATTTCTTGAGTAGAAGCCGAGTGCTCCCTGAACAGATTCCCATTTCAGAACTCCTCTGCTCAGATGAACGATACCAACTCTGAAAAGAAACAGTTTGAAAATTCAAATTCACTTTAGCACTGCAGCAGTCATTTTTGTCCATTGTCTCCACGAGTGAACATAGCCTCCTGCAAAGAAAAGGGTGTATTTTCCAGGGGAAAGATCTCTTCCCAGGAAAAAACAGGATTAGTGCTAACTTTTGTTCTGCACAGGCTAGAAACCTTAACCAGAGTGCAGATCTGCTTATTTCCACATATAGCAAACTTTCAAGTGTCTAAGGACTGTGACAACAGCAGTTTTGAGACTCAAGAGAAAAATATTTTCATTACTAGTATTCACACCATGTTCTCCCCCACAGATGTGAAAGTATTAGAAGGCAAGCAGTGATTCTCCCTCTTTTACAGGTAGCAGAACTGAGGCAGGCTTGGCAAAATTTGCTTTGGGTGGTGTGGTCAGTCAGTAGAAGAGCTGGCACTGTCTCTAGACCACATAATATCAGTGATGCTTTATATTCATTGACCACCACAGCATCTCCCTTTCCTGATCGTGCTGAAGGATAAAACATTCATTTTCAAACACTTGATTTTCATGCAAAATAAGCTCTCCTAAACTATAAGAGTGTGTCAGATTAATTTACACCTCCAGAGCCCTGTTTTGTACACAACTGTGTCAACAGCAAAACTGACATACACAGGGCACTGTTGGGAGCATACGCACAAGACACTCCCTTACGGTACTCTTCTGTTGGATACAAGCATGCCTCATGGATCACAGAATCACAGAATCATTCAGGTTGGAAAAGACCCCTGGGATCATCGAGTCCAACCCCCAGCCCGACTCTACAAGTTCCCCCCTACATCACATCCCCCAACATCTCATCTAAATGACCCCTAAACACACCCAGGGATGGGGACTCCACCCCTCCCTGGGCAGCCTATTCCACTCTCTGACCACTCTTTCTGTGAAATTTTTTTTCCTCATGTCCAGTCTGACCCTCCCCTGTTGCAGTTTAAAGCCATTCCCTCTTGCTCTGTCACTAATCCCCTGTGAGAAGAGCCCAGCACCAACCTCTCTACAGATGTCTTGTTCCAAACTGATAAAAGTCCTTTATGAACAATGCCCTTGAAGTATTCCAGCCAATACTTAGTGAAAAAACAGCAAGTTTCTCCAAGCAAAATAGCCAAACAGGACAAAAAAGCTTACATAAATACTACAGTTGATTAGCCAACTTTTTAAAATACTAAGCCATGCAACAGAGATACGAGTGAGTAACCAAAGTCAAAGTTGGCTTAACTGCTAGGTCATTTCCTACTTTGAAAGATGCATAAAGATTTTCCTTTATCAGAATCAGTCTCATAAGAGATAACTTCTAAGGAAAAAATCTTGGGCAAATATCCTTAGGTGTCAACATTTTTGCCTGTCTGCTTTCCCAGCCCTCTTAAGAAATTACTTTTATTAACAGAACAATACAAACTTGTCCTAGCAGGAACATGAACTGTGTGACCGTTCCCTTCTCAAATATATTCTTTTTTTCATCTGTTCTCTTTGCAAATACTTTGAATTGTCAAAATCATCTGACCCACCTCCCACAGCAGTGAGCAAGGCATGAGCCCTTTGCATAGATAACCCCTTCTTTTGCAAGCCATTCTGACCATCATTCAGCTGAGGCATTACCATAGGATCAATGGCTTTTGCAGGAGAAATCATGCTTGGGGACTGCTGATTACATGAACAGCTTTAGCACTCATTTCACCCACCACTAAATGTCACCACCCTCCCAAACTCAGTGGTTGCATTCAGCATTAGCAACTACTTCCTAGAAAAAACAAGGACGAGCACACAGTATCTGACTCTACAGGTTAGACATGTTTCTTACAGCCTTGAGACTGGTCAGTACCTGAGATACATGCCTTCATTTAGAAAATCTGTTTTGGAGAGATGAAGCTTGGGGCCTTGGATCACTGCTCCACACACAGACACCTATTGGTGTCGGATTTTTCCTCGCTATGTCACATACCTACAACACTAGACATTCTGCAGCTTCAAACTCTGGCTTTAAAAGCAGCATGCATCTTATTTTAATAATTTTGGAAAGCAAGATTTAAGGGAAAACGTATGTCAAGAAGCCACATGGCACTTTTCACAATCCAGCTCCTTCAACTTATCTGCACAGGCTGGGCTGACCAAACAGACACTTGAGCTATGTTTTTATAATCAGTTTAGGCATGTACCAAGGTAAAAGAGATGGTGTGACCTTCAAATTTTACCTCTCACCCACCCTGCCTGTTCTGCACAGAGGCAACCATTTGTCAAAGTTGTACATTTGACCTAAGAACTCATCTGTTCTATTTCTTTTTTTTTTTTTTTCTATATTATATTTTTACTCTACCACTCTTAAGTTCTCCCTGTGGAGTTCACTATTGCACAAAAGCTGAGACAAGCGTGCTCAGCAGCACGGTGCTGGCAGAATCTCCTTTTTGGCTGGGAAACCACATTGGCACCGGAGGTGGGGAAAGGAAATCTAAGCATTAACCTGTCACACCTGAAGGCAAACACAGTGGTTCCTCTTGGGAAAATTCCTGTAAGGTGGGATAAAGGGAGTTTTATAAAAAAGTCAGTTTCAACTTCAATTGTGAAGCAGTTTGTACTGCCCAGAAGCCTACAGCTTTCTCTAACTGGCATTTCAGATCAGGGGTCTGTAGTTTGAGAAGTAGCAATTGCAGTCTCTTGTCCTTCATCCTGCAGGATCCTTGACCTCTCTCCCTTTTGTCTTCAAGCTTGTTCTAGAGACAGAGACAATAAATTTTGCTTGAACAGTACAGAAACCTTGTGCTGTCTCTGCACACCATTTCCACATTGCCCAGGCAGCCTCAGTCCAGTTCCAGCATTGCACTACTCATGTTGCTGTACTGCTACAGTGTCTGGGGCACCAACAAGTTAACAGGACACAAAGATATAGCTGGTAACCCTGCCTAGCAGCTATTGCATCCCTTCAACACTTAGGACCACTTTTTTTATTTAACCCATCTGGAAGCCAACAACTTTCTCTGGGCCTATGATTCAGGTCAAGTACTTGTCTCAGCTAGAGTCTTGGAGACATCTGAAGACCACAGGGAAAGCACACAGCATTTAAACATGAGAGTACTTGGACATCAAACAGATAAAGCAGCAGTAATCAAAATCCTAGATCAGTCTGAACAAATAAATGCCTGAGGTACATCAGCCGCAGATAAAGGAGAATGTGTCAATTTTTTTCCATCAAGGCTGGTAGAGATTCTCCTCAGGCCTTGATATCTGTAGGTCCCCTCCTAGATCTAGCACAGAACAGTTTAGATTCAGTTTTCCCTGTGCCTACACACCCCTTGTTCAAGAGCTCTGTTCTCAAGTCCTGTGAAGCATCCAAAACATGCATGGGAGCGAAGGGGTTGAAGGGATTAATTACGGCTGGCAATTAATGGGAGAATTTAAGGTTCATTTACCATAGCACTCAGCCAGACTTTATCATCTGGCACAAACACTGGCCCATGATCATACTACAAAATCAAGTCTGTGATGATACTTTGTATAAATTACTGAGTAATTTCAATGGCTGAGGACTTACACAGTCACGTCCAGCCACTGAAGAGACATCTGTAGCTGTGTCCTGGCCAACTGTTTTATACCAAAATCCTTGCTTTCCTTCACTAAGATTGTGGTAATGGCCTGGCATCCAAGCACCTCCTTAGATGGAAGGTGACAGAGCAAAGAGAGAATGACCCCAGCTACCACCATGCCACAGATCTCCTCCATTGCCAAGCCCATCTGTGGCACCTAGTCTTAACAGCAGTGCCTGAAGGCATAGAGACCATCTTTAAAAGGGCTTGAAGTGAAAACTGCAGTACCAAAAGGAGGAGTGTAGCTGATGAGCAATGCAGTTAGTAGAACACAAATGTCAGGTAGATTATTTCCCTGTCACTTGCAGTGAAAAATGAGATTAAAATGCTTATGTTTTAAGAGTGCAATGCAGCCCTGCAGAAGTGTCTTCTGAGTGCAACAGGTGCCAGCATTCAAACTTCTCCAGCTTTGCTAAAGACACCCCAGAGCACGCTATCAATTATTGTGCATTCATCAACACAAGGCAATTGCTGTCACATGCTAGTGATAGATCAAAGTGCTTAATCCTTTATTAACTTACATGTGCTGCATTAAGACTGCATCAATCAAGTGAAGCTCAAAGATATGCAGTGAGGAAATCTTACAAACAGAATGAAACCTGACACAAATTTAACTGTTTCCCGATCACCTGACCATTCTAGTGGGAGCAGATATATCATTCTGAGGGAAAATCCATATAATTCATACCTGCCTTTACAAACATTTAAACCTCCTAGAGATAACTATGTTCTAGGAGAGGGAAGGGAAGCATATTTGTTTAGGTGCCTTGATGGGTAAGGAAAAGTGTAGGGAAAAATACCAATCAGAATTTCCTGGAATCAGGATGTGGTCATTAAAGCCATGGGAACCTACAGTTACGACACCATAGCTTACAGCTGAATTAGCATTAGAACTGGAAATGATATTGCAGAACAGTGCAAGATATTGCAGACCTGTGCATCCTTTTGCTATACTATAGCATTTCCACAGAAAATCATCACTTGAAAGGTAGTTCAAAGCTTTTTTTATGTGGGAAAACCACAGTTTTGCTTCAGACATCTCAGTCAAGCAGAATAGTAAAAAAAAAAAATCATCTGAAGCACAGACCCTTAGCCATGCCCCTGTTTGCAATAAAATGTTTTTCATTTAGCTAAGAACTACTTCTGATTACCACATTTTATGAACTTGACTGAGTACAGAGGAGGTCTTTTATGTAATCTCTATGGCTAAGTCATCTGTGAAGACATTTGTAATTTAGCACACAAACATATGGAAGGTACAAACTTAGCTATTAGTCCATCAATAATATATATTTATTCTGATTTTTTAAAAATTTATTTATTTATATTTTTTTTACCTATTGTGAAAAACAGTTTTTACCCCTGTACTCGGCACTGGTGAGGCTGCACCTCGATTCCTGGGTTCAGTTTTGGGCCCCTCACTACAAAAAGGACATGGAATGACTCAAGTGTGTCCAGAGAAGGGCAACAGAGCTGGTGCAGGGTCTGGAGCACAGGTCTGATGGGGAGCGGCTGAGGGAACTGGGGGGGTTCAGTCTGGAGAAGAGGAGGCTGAGGGGAGACCTCATCACCCTCTACAGCTCCCTGACAGGAGGGTGCAGAGAGGGGGGATGAGTCTCTGGAGCCAAGGAACCAGCGCCAGGCCCCGAGGGAATGGCCTCAAGCTGCCCAGGGCAGGGTCAGGCTGGCTCTGAGGAAGGATTTCTGTGCAGAAGGGGCTGTTGGGCGTTGGAATGGGCTGCCCAGGGCAGGGGGGGAGTCCCCATCCCTGGAGAGGTTGAAGAGTCAGTGTGACCCAGCGCTGAGGGATCTGGGGGAGTTGGGAACGGTCAGTGTGAGGTTCATGTTTGGACTGGAGGAGCTTCAGGGGCTTTTCCAACCGAGATGATTCTGTGATCTCTGTAAAGATGCTGTCCCTAGCTGTATGAGTGGTGCTCACTACTACTTCATTTCACTTCTGGTAGTACCCATGGCTTAGTTCCCACCTACCAGGGATCAAGACAGAGACTCAGTGAAACATCCAGCCCAACCATTGCTTTAGACAGGAAAGTATTACTTGCGAAAAGTGATGAAATACCTTTTCTACCCTTAGGAAATGCAACAGCAAATGAGAAATTGGATTCTGTGTCATTCTACCATGCATTACCAAATAATCATGAAATCTTAGCAATACGAAGTGCTACAACTATTTTTTCTGATACTGTTATTATTACTTTTGCATACAAATCTTTTCCATGTCTGCACTCAGTATACCTGTCACATGGCACCATCCCCCAAATCCTTGTTACACATCATCAA